GGCATGGGTTCAATAAATGTATAATTATTTATACACAGTGGAACAGCTTCAGTAGGAGAGATCCATGCTGGAGTGACTTAGCCTGGTCACTCCTCTGACATCTAGAAGATTCAAGGTCAAGCTCCTGCTGTAGATGGGCCAAAATGGCAGGGAACTCAGGAATATGTCCTTATAAAAATGAATATGCACTTCTATAGTAACCACCCAAAGTACTGTAGTGCTGTGCAGCTCATCTGACCTAACAGGCAACATGGTTGGACCATCGCTGCAGAAAACATATAGGAATTATTTTCTAGTATCTCCATGTCTTCAAGGTAGATGTTTCAGAAGTACTCTGAGGACCTCCACATTTCTTGAACACAGGCCAGTCTAAAGCAGATGCTATTTCATCAATAAGACACTACTGGCATGTGATATGTGTTCAGGCACATGTACATGTGTCCTTTCATACTTCAGTATACCCTACCAATTGTCATCTTCCATGGGCAGTGTTAAATGCACATTCAGGACTAGGTTTCTGTGAAATTTCTCTATGCTGCACCAGTATGACTGAAGGCAGTCTCAAGCCCTCAGTATTATAGCCTAAGAAACATGAGTGCCTATAGACATACTCAAAAGTGTGTGTGGGGTGGCATTTTAATTAGAACAATTCCTCAAGAGTTGCTTTAATTAAAATGCCTCAATGTCATGTGTATTAAGCTCATGAATATGGTTTTATTTTTGAGGGCTTTGTGTTCATGAAATTGGAATAAATAAAGATAGAAGCCTTTATAATTTCTTGTGAAAAAATGAAACCCACAAAATGCTCTGCGTCAGCAAAGGAGGTAATTAATATAATATGTTTACAGTATTTAATCCTGCTCTTACTGTAGTCAAGGGTAAAATACTCACCGACTTCAATAAGAGCAAGAACAAGCCTTTATTCAGCAGGGACCTATCCTGGCCATTAAGAAAAAACTCTCATTGCCTTCAATGGCACTGTGAGGGAATGAAGCCTGGGCTGCTGCTTGCTAGAGAGCCAAGACAAAGCTGCTTCTCCTCACTTTAGGAAAATGCTTTGTATGGCTCAAGGCTATAGATTGTAGCTGCATTGGTCTAAGGACATAGGCAGACAAGGTTCTTTGGGTAAATCTGATATCTTTTATTAGACTAACTAAAATTGTTAGAAAAGTTCTTCTTTGCAAGCTTTCAGGTACAAACATCCTTCATCAGGCTGAGGAAGCATCTGCAGTTGGTTTTTGCTCTTCCTGGATGGTATAGAATAGAAGCCAGAGGCCAGTATACATGTGAGAATGCCAGTCAGTGAAAATGCAAATTGAGGCAGTCAATGGGTGAGAAACAGGGGTGGGAGGAGGGAAGAGGGGGGAATATAGATCTCGTGATAAGAATATACCTGGTAAATAGTAGAGAGGTTACTGGGGTATCAGACGTTAGGCAGGTTATAATGTGTCATAAATCCAATGTCTATATTTAGCCCATGATTTTTTGTATCCAGTAGGTTGATGATGTGAAGTTCATAGGCTTATCTGTGAAAGGTGTTTTGTAAATTCCCTTGGAGGATTAGAACTGTGAGATCAGAGAGAGAATGGTTTTTAGTGAGGCTTTTATTCTGTTCCATCCAGGAAGAGCACAGACCAACTGTAGATGCTTCCCCAGCCTGATAAAGGTTGCTTGTACCCAAAAGCTTGCAAAGAAGACTTTTTCCAACTACTTTAGTTGGTCTAATAAAAGATATAGGATTTACCCAAAGAACCTTGTCTGCCTCTTGTATGTCTCAAAACTTCACACATTCAAGAATGGGAAGGGCCTCTGTGGCACACAAGAACTTCCTTGTGCATCTTCCATTGTATCCTGCTGTCCCGGAAAGAGATGGGTGTGATGGTTGTATGTTAGTACCTAATAAATAATAATAGCGAGCCAGCAGAATGTACTAAGACTTTGCTGGGATCTCATTAATCACAGAGGACCAAATCATCTCTTGTGTAATTCCATTCATTTCATTAGGGTTATTGTAGAGGAAGTATTTGGCATGAAAATAAAGCAGGTTTCCTTTGCATGATGTACCATCCATTCGGTCTACATTTTGTTGATCCTTTATGCATACTCAGAGATTTCTTCATAGGAGTGTAGCCATAGATTTTTTTGAAATAGTAAATAATGAGATGCTCAGACTGTCCCAACCCTGTATTCAGGCTTAGAATTTGGTATGGGTTCAAAAGAAATTAATTTGGCAAGTTTTTAGGAAAACTAAAGAGACTTTTAGAAGGTTGTGTTTGTGTGTAGCCAGCTTCAGTTTGGATTACTTTCTGTAGCTTCTGCTTACATTATGCCTTTTGATAAAATAATTTCATTTCTGAAAAAAGTAATTAATTAAAGAGGGTGAGAGAGAAAGAGAGAGAGATTTTACTTTTGGAAAGAATCTGTTGTTTCTAGAAAGGTGAAAAATGTGTTAATAATTTGGGCAATTGATGGAAGCAAAATCAGTATACAAAACCCTCATGTTCTGGTAAAGTTCAGAAGAATAGAAATGTAGGAAGTTTTGGTGTGCATGCCCAGTCTAATAAGGCACTTTCTTTGCTTTACTCACTTGATGATGAAATCATGCCTCTAAAAGCAGCGGAGCTTCCACACATTTCCAGGTCCTCCAGCAGCAGGGAACCAGCGTTCCTGAATCTACAGGGTGGTATGTGGAAGGCAAACTCCAATATATGCATTATTCAGAGCCTAAATTGGGTGAATATGCATATAGATATTACAGAAAGTTGAGTGGCAATTCAGTAGGAGTTCCATGCTTGACTTGATCCAGATCTCTGTAAGTGGAAAGATTTAGAATTCCAGTAGATGGGAGAAAGAAGTCTCCTGTCTTGCAGAAACCCTCCAAGTTGGCAGACTCTTGTACTTGTACAGGAGGCCCATTTAAATCAGTGAGGCTCTGCCCAACACAATGATCCACCCAAATTGAGCTGTTTGCAAGATCAGGGCCCAACTCAATGCTTTTAAGAAGTTTTATTTTTTTCTTTCCCCACCCTGCTTCATTATTGCAGATATTGAGAGAAAAACAGAAGAGGAAATAAGAGAAGCTTAGATGCAGCCTCCAAGAACACTTTTAAGTATTTTTTTTTAGAGATTTCAAATTGAATTTTTCTTGATCTGTGATTAGTCAGGGAGCAAGAAGAATAACATTAAGCACACAGGGAAAAAATAATAATAAAAAAACCAGCACATTGAAGTGCATTTTTTGTTGGAGGTTTATTTTGTTTTAATAAATCTGACACCAGTTAGGGAGAGAGAGAAGTGTTGTGAGCCCAGAATGAAAGCAAGCACACTGAAAGTACTTCATACTCTTGTCTTCCCACAGATGTTTCTCTGGTAGCTCTTAGCAATCTCTCCCCAGGCTTAGGAGCCTCCCTCTCCCACCCCCACCCCTTTTTTTTTCATTATTGTTTTTTAAAAAGCGAGCTTGCTCGCCCGGTGTGTTTTCCAAGCTTTCCCAGCTCTAATAAATAAGGAGCACCTGTAAAACAGTAGCTTGACTTAAGTGAATCTGTACAAAGGAAAATATAGAAATACAGTATATACATAGTGCTCATAGTGCACCATCACTACAAGGCTCTGGTTTGATTGGCTTTGATACCCTGCTCCCAACACCATGGAGACTGAGACACTTCTTTTGCAAACTGTTCCTTGGCTCCGAACAGTAGCCTTATAGAAAAGGTGTACTCTGAACACTTGAGAGTGAACAATTGCTTTATTCGAGTTAGTAAACAGTTACACTGAATCACAAGGTGATTTGATTTTTTTTTGTTTTTTTTTTTGTTTTTTGTTTTTGTTTTGTTTTGTGTTTTTTTTTAAGTTTTGTATTTGTCAGAATGGGATACTCCACAACTGTCTTACCAATTCAGTGCCAGTATACATGCTCTAGTGTACTTTTGGACTCTTGGCTACAACTGTACAAGTGCACACAAGTAAATTCTACCCTGTTATCCTCCACCCACTGATTGAGGATCGAATTGCACATTTCTCTTCACCATGACAGGAGAAAGCAAACAGTGAAACAAAATCATGGGGGATCTTTCTCACTCTACCCCTTGCTTTCATTGGTTTGTCCATACCATTCTAATTATCATGAAAGGGCTATGCATATGGAGAGATTGTCTCACTGGCTTCCTGGATCACTGAAAACCATCAGGGTTGAAATTTCATCCAAGTCTTTCGTGACGCCCAGCAAATATTCCCCTCAGATTATTTTACACCTTGAGGGAATTTTGGTCTTTAGTTCAACACTCTTGCTCTGTTCCCAAATGGGGCGCTATTTAGGGGAATTTAAAGAGAAAGCTGAGAAGAATAAACATTTACTGAGTTCTCTTGGCATTCAGTCTCTGAAAAACCACAGTATAAACTATTCATGCTGCTTCTTACATCTGTCAAATCAAAAATTAAAAGCCATAAAAGTGTAACACTGAAAATATGGCATTAAAAAGGATAAAGATGGCCTTTGTAAAAATAACAAGGAAAGTATATTAGCCAATAAAATATTCTAACTCTTCATTTAAAAGTGCATCATGGGTAGGACAGAGATGACTCTGAAGCGTTGCTACGCCAGTATTACCCCTTTCCCCCATCAAAACTTGAATAGGTCCAAAACCATACAATGCAAATCACGATTCTTAATGTAGCAGCAAAACCACAGCAGTTTTTTGAAAAAAAAATCCATCATTGTCCAGTCTCAAATATCTGAACTTTGAAGTCAGAGAGGGAAAAGTACCTACATTGGTCCATGTGGTTTTTGAAACCAGGGTGAAAATCCCCCCAGAAAGAAACCAAGAGGAAAGTGTGTTCCTCAAAGGAGAAGAGGTGGTAGTAGGAATGCTGAGCACATTGTGTGGGTCCATGATGTGCTGTCTTCTGGGCCAAAGGCACCCGTGGGATTGAGGCTTCCTCTGAGAGACTTAATGACAGGAAGCTGCTTTATTTGCTTGACTTTTAGCCAGCGGGGGTGGTGAGCGGACCAGCTGGTGTCATTTGGTGAAGTGACAAGGGTTGCTCTGCTCTGCTCCCTTTCTCCATGCAAGGTACCCTGTCAGTGAGCATTCCTGGAAAAAAGAAAAGAAATGGTCAGAACATATTGCAGATGATTCACTGCAGGTAACGTGCTTAAAAGCATAAGCTTAGGCATGCAGCTGAGAGCTGTGATGGCAGCTCTGTACGGAGACAACTTGCACTGCTTCAGCCTCAGGTATGTCTGATAGTGTTAATACTGTCAGTAAATTGCTAAGCATATGTAGCCTTGTTTGCAGCAAAATAGTTGGAAAGAAGATGGAGGAATTCCCATGATAACAAGCTAAAGTTATACAACGATAATTAATCCTTCACACTTACAGAGCACCTTTCATCCTAAGAAATCAAAGGTGAGCAATAATGCTGTGCAATTAAACAGTGCACTGCACAGATAGATCTCAAAGGGTTTACAAAGGTGGGATGTATCATCTCCTCCGAACAGTTAGAAATGCTTAGAGGATGGGTGATTTAGTTCTACATCTCACAGTGCCCGAGCAGAACACACACTTACACACACCTAACAACTATTTTAACTATCAAACTTGGTTGCTTCCCGATAAGTCAGAGCCCCTATTTTTTTTTCAGATATCACAAATTAATTGTCTAAATGTAGCTGAAAACAGTATTTGGAATAATAAAATTGTGGTTCATGCATATCTTTGTAAAGATTCCTTTTACAAACATATCTTCAGTGCTGCCTAAATGGAAGGGAGTTAAATACTTAAAACTCCATTTAGAGGCTGAAATAAAGGATTTTTTCTGAAGGAAAAATTGAGTTTGCAGTAGAGAAGTGGACACAGCATCGATGCCTGCACGATTCACACTGGACACCAACACTAAGTTCAGACCCTTCATTTATTTATTTCACCATTTCATGCATTTATGCTCCAAGAACACTAGAGATTTTTTAAAATCAAAAGCTTTAATAAAGAATATTAGAGAAAGAATATCACATCTAATAAATACCCAGAAAACCTTCTTATCACAGCCTAGCCTCCATGGGAGGCTATGTCATAAGCCTTCCTCAAATCCTCTATATGCTATCATACAGCTTGTCAAAGCCAGACTAGTGAAAAATGTAGGAAGTGAATTCCAAAACCCAGAGCTGTCCCCCCACCCCCAATCCCGTGCTCTGGACTGGGTCTCTAACAGCCTCTACCCACCACACTACAGGCTATCATTTCCAAGTGTCTCAGAGGATCGCTATCATCCATAGCATTGTAACTAATTGTGCTTAGTGTAGGGTTTGAACAAAGGCCTTTCAACAATCCAAGTATGAGCTGCCACTGCTTGTGGTAAAGGGCTATCTAACTTTAGCAGCATTCCTTAGTGGAGTCATAAATCTCAGATGTGAACCAGCTACTACAAGAGTACAAACCTCTCAGTCTGTCAGTGAAGATGACAGTATTGTGTGTGAAGTTTCATTTTAGTTCTTTGCACGTTTCCTGTCATCTAGAATTGTTTTACTCTTGTTGTTTGATTAAATTACTTTCCTCTTTGCTTGTTCTGAAGGTGAGAAATTATTTTTCTTCAGTTATGATAAATAAAACATATTTCATTTCATTCTTACATTAGATTCAAGGGTCAGCTCCTGCAACATCTACTCAGAAAAAACCCTTTCTGAAGCCAGTGGTAGTTTTGACTATATAAACAATACTGGATCAAACTTTTATTGAAGTCATAAGTGAACCCATCTGAATACTGCATACCAGGTCAGATCTTGTTCTCACTGAAATAAACGAGGGATTTCACAATGATTTCAAGCATGCCCACCCAGGACTTGTGTGGAAAGGAGCATGAAAGCAATGGTCATAAGCATCTTTTACCTAAAAAAAATCACTAAATCATTGAACTATTGGAGGTAGTAAGTATACAGTAATTCATGCTATTTCTCAGTGTCTTAGTTAACCATATACTTGCCCCATTGGGAGACAGACCCACCATTCCCTTTTCTGGATGTTTTTACTATGCCTGTTACTAGATCTCAGAGAACTTGAGGAATCTCATTTATATTTTTTGAATTATCTAAATAGACCCTGTGTTTTGGATACACACTGAGACTATCTTTTGGTTTGGACTCCCAACATTCTGCCAGCTTGTAGAAAGAAAACCTGAAGCACACTATCAGTGTTAGTGTTTGGGCCAGTAGACACTTTCCTCAATGTGCACCATCAATCTTTTACCCTCAGAGTGACTCCTGTTGCCACCCTGCATTTCTGTGCTTATATCCCATGCAGAACTGCCCTTGTCATCAAATGTAAGGCTGAGAGGAGTGTACAGAAGTGTACTACACTTTGGCTTAGTTCAGAGCATGCAGATCTCACCATCAGCCAGGTCACGGATGCAGCTCGAGTGAGGTAGGTTTTAGGTCCATGTTATGATTCATTCACCATGAAGCACATAACTGCTTCTTTCCATTCTGTATTTACTATTCCTCTAAATCCCTCTAGGCACCTCTATAGGCAGTTCTCAGTGTACTACTTTTTCTACTTTTCCATTCCCCCCCAAATATTAGCTGACAAGGTGTGCCACAGAAGTATAAGGGGAGGTGCAGGGAGGGTGTGGGGCAGGAAGTGAAATGCAATCCTGAGGCTTTCTGCTGGGAGTGATCAGAAGTTTTTGTAGGAGCTGTGCATTTGCTTAGGCCAACTCTGATTGGGCAACAGGTCCATCCTCAGAGATCAGACAGGAGACTTTCCTCTTTGGTATGTATCACACATGTCCTTGGTGATAAATGTATATTTGTAGTGATCAAGATCCAAAGGGAGTAAAAATCCATACCATTATAATATGTGAAGTTAAGAACAAGGACATTTTAGTCATTGCCACTTACCAGTTAAGACAAATTATGCCAATACTGGCAGGTATGCCCAACAGAAAACCATTGACTATTCATATTTTTCACTGGAAAGAAATGGCTTTCTTGGACAGTAGCACTCACTCGTTGCCCAGCCTAACCACAACCCAACAAAGAACTAATATTCCTGATGAGAAATGAAGGATGCATCATGTGTAACCCTCAAGGAAAAAATAATTTTCATGAATACAAGCAGACTTAGTACTGAGCTGAATTCCAGCCTGTCTAACACAGATGCTCTCTGGGTAGCATGGAGGAAAGAACTCACTGAATTTCTTCCTTCTGCTTTCACAGCAAGCCTTCAAGTTTACGTGCCCCTGCACATACCATGTTACAGACTTCCAGCTCTTTGAGTGTTTGGTGGGGAGCATCTGATGATGGATCAAGCACAAATAGCAAACAGGTGTACAAACATGCTTCACAGACCCTTCAGCAAGAAGTTACAGAACCAGTTGTTCAAAGTTTCTTCCAGTTTCTTCTGGACCTTCCTTAGTTAGAGTTGGTTAATGCTTGTAAGTATGTGTTTAGACTCTTCCCTAAATTCTTGCTTGTTTTGTATTACCTAAAATGCCACACGCACACACACACACAACACAAAGCACAACACTAGAAACTATTTTTTTCCTTTGGCTTCTCTCATTCTCCACTCTAATGCACAATTCTGTCACAGAAGTAGTATCTTACTGTTCAAAAAAATATGGTGACCAAGTGTGGGGATTTTAGTGCTAAGCAGTCACTGATGTGGATTGGCAGAGTGGTCTATCTTTTGAGGTAGTAGTTAATTCAACCAGGCAATGAACGTTAAAATTGTTGATATGCCAGAAGACGCCTGGTTCTTTTGGGACATAAATGGCTCCAGAACAAAGTCAACCCAATAATTTTCTCAGGGAAGTGCTGAAGACATACACCACAAGAGTGCAGCTTAGACCTACAGACACTCTGAAGTTGTCTGCTGTATGTAATAGTTCTGTACTTTTCAGCAATTCTTGAAGTAGTTCAAGCTTTACCCTTAAAACCTTCCCCTTTGAACTGTTAATAATTTAATTTTCTTCTCCATGAATCAGAAAAAAAATCACCATATCATGAGCTGGGGAAGCCTTTAAGCATAAAAGGAGACCAATGACATAGTTGATGGCTGAGGTTATTGCCCTCATTCTTTATTTGCTGCTACCACCCTTTCCTGTAAACAGCCCTGTCTCTTCCGATTTAAAAAAGTGTTTAATATACTTTGTAATTTTACACTTCTAAAACCACCTTTCAGATTGGAGCTGTCTCAGAGTGATGATCAAGGACTTCATGAAATTCTGGAAACTTTTCAATTTTACCTTAGAAAAATCAGCATTTGTCCTCATCTCCCCCAAATGGCACCACATCTTCCAAAGATACCACTGAAAAGGGACATTGTTTTGTTTTATATTCCAGGGACATGAATAGACACACTAGCCAGAACAGACAAAAGAGATGACACCAAAGTGGGAATTAAGGCACTCTTGCCTGCTAAACTCAGCTCTAACACTGATTTCTTTTGTGACCTAGAACAAATCTGCCTAGACCAGATTCTGGTCTCGTTTATGCTGAGCTAATGTGATGCATCCCCAGTAAAGCAAGTCTGCCAAATTTTCAGGCATCTACTGCAACAAATATTTTAACATTCTGTATTGGCACGACCCTGAGAGTTTTCAAAGAGGTGTGTGCAAGTGTGTTTTACATTGGATTTTTTGTTTGTGTTTTGCAAAAGCATAGAGACCCACCCCAGAAGAGCCAATAGCCTGATGGCTATGATCTGGAGATGTAAATCCTTGCTCTTCCTGATGCAGAATAGAGACTTGAACACTGATTTCACACATGAAAGCCCTCACCACTGGATTTTTCTGGGATGGACATTTCTTAATTTATCCTGTTATATAAGTAAGTACATATTCATGAGGCCAATCAAAGGAAACCATAGCCATCAGTTAGCCATAGCCATAACCATAACCACTATAGCCATAACTTAAGCTATAGCCATAACCATCAGCTACGGTGTGGGAGATCCAGATTCAAGCTTGTACTGATAAATAGAGAATAGTGGATTTTGAAAAGTATGGACTTGAACACAGGCACCTTGGGTGACTGCCTTATCCAGCTGGCTATTCCAAGGTTTGATTTCAACCAGAAATTATGCTCAGGATCTCTACA